GTCTGTCCGAAGGCGGAATCTCATTCGAAGAGTTCTTTCCCCGCCCACTCCCCGCTCCACGACCACGACGACCACGACCCCTCCCCCTCCCTTTAGTCGGCCCCGCACGGGGGTGCATCATTACAGGGACCTGCGGCAAGACGGGATCTGAACAGGTCGAAAACTCAACCGTCCGTTGGAGAACACCCCTGGGAACACGGCCCTGTCTGATCAGATTCTGGAGACGCTTTGAATTCGCTAGCATCGAAGGGGGAGGCACAACTAAACGGCGCGAGGCGACAGCCCCTGTAGATACAGAAGTCGCAGATCTCGCAGAAACACAAGTTGGCGGCCTCAGTCCATCACCCAGATCGCCTGTACACTGAGGGCTCCCCGCAACAACTGTAGAATCCAAAACAATGCTGCCGTCCTGTGATGCCTCAATCCGCGCCTTATCTGCGACGACACCCACCGCTCCGTCTGTCCCCTTGGTGCTGGGCCAGGGGTCTGCTCCGTCTTCTCCACGTCCCGAAGATACTCTTGCAGTATCGGCCAGAGTGTCCTGGCGGCTGGTAGGTCCTGCACGCTCAGGTTGATCGTGAGCACCCCCTTGCGGTCCACTGTGATGTCCTCGTCCTCCCCCTCCTTCGTTGCTCTCGCCTTCCTGCACTTGCAGTTGAGCACCGGCAGGCCAAGCATCTTGGGCGTCTGCTTCTCCACCACCTCCGCCCAGAACGAAGAAAGGGCTGAGTGACCGTGAGGAGGAGGAGGAGGAGGAGGAGGAGGAGGAGGAGGAGGAGGAGGAGGAGGGATTGAAGATAGTTCGTTCACATGTTAGGCATGTACTAACGACGTACCAACCACCTTACAACCACTTACTGCCATGCTAGCCATTGGCCGCCTACTAACTATGGTGTACGTTACATAGCTAAGTCAGTTATAACCTATCTAGTAATGGGTTAGTGAGCTCGCGGACCATTTTCGAACCAGCCAGAGCCATGTAGTCACCACTTAGAAGCTATTTGCGAAATGCCGACTTACATTTGCCCAGGTTTGTAGATTTGTCGCCACTTAGATTTGGTTAGTAATATCTTGACCATTTACTAAGTGTAGTTTCCAATTCCAGTATTTACAATCAATCCATTTACAACACACACTTACACCGTATTTGCAACATGCATACAACTCAATTGTATCCTCCTTCGTATCCTCTTGCAAGTCCGCGAACCACCTTGTAAGCGGCGTGGGCATCTCAGTGGTGCAAGGCGTGGGTCCCCCCAGGGCCGGAGATTGCCCCAAACCGTCCGTCGTGATTTCCACGACGCGGGGATACCAGGGCCGATCGCCAGGTCACCGGCTACCACCGTCACGTGGGGACAGTGGCCGACAGCGCCGCGGACCCAGACTTCGCGGGCTTCTCGTGGGCGGAGGGCAGGGCATACACGCCGCCGCGGCAGGCCCACCGCCGGCGCCGCGGCACGCCGCCGTGCGCGGCCGCCGCCGTCGCTGCCGGCGGCTCTTTTATCCCCGAGAACCACGCGTCATGAAAAAGTCACGGCGGAAGGTTTTGACAATGTCCAGCCCTTGTTGGGCCCAGGGGCCGCGGAAAGATTGCCAATCGGCCGAAGTCCGGACCCTGGGGAATTTTGGGGAACCGCGTCGTGGAGAAAGCACGACGTCGGACATCTGGGACCACCAGCGGTTTCGTTGTGCATTCGGAGGCTGGCCCTTCCTCCACTTCCAGCTCGTGGCAGGTTTCGCAGCGGTCCTGATCGGTGCGTCCCATGTTTCAGCCCGCTGCTAGCCCCTCAGCTCTAGCAGCTCCAGCTGCTCATAGACATGCGACCCTGCAGTTGCTCCAGCTTCCCTGCAGTTCGTCAGTTGTGCTCGTTTATATTTTGAGTTCTCTGAGGCTTCATGTCGGGGGGGTCGGACATTATTGGCGTCTCCCTGAGTTTTCGGAGTGAGTGGGAGGGAAGAGCCAACAGGGAGGAGGGAGGATAAACAAGCAGGAGGAGGAGAAGGAGGGAATATGGATGATGGGCGGCGGAGGAGTAGGAGCAAGAGCAGGGGGATCACCAGATGATTTCCGCTGTTTTTCCCCAAACAGCTTGCTGAACAGGATGCTATTGTGATCGTAACTGATTCTGGTCGAGGAACGCCCGCCCAGAGACATTCTCAACACAATTTTCTGGTCTGGGCTGTTTTGTCTGAGACATCCTCACAACTCTCGATTCCGAGTTTGCTGGGATGTGGCGCTTCGCCTGAGACATTCTCGCAGTTCTCAGCTCCGGAATCCCTCGAGCGAGGTGTACGGTCTGATACATCCTCGTACTTTTGAGCTCCTAGATGCCGCTCGCGAGGTGGTCTGGCCCGTTTCGCTTGAGATATCCTTGCAATTCGCAGCTCGGACGTGCTGCCGTCCGGCGCGTTTTGCTTGAGACTCGTCGCAAGTCTGAGCTCCGAGATGCTGCACGCAAGGTGATTTGGTGCGTTTTGCTTGAGACGTCCTCGCAACATTGAGCTCTCAGATGCCGCGCACGAGATGGTCTGGATCGTTTCGCTTGAGACATCCTCGCAAGTCTGGGCTCCAACGCCGCGCGAGAGGTGGTCCAGCGCGTTTCACCTGAGACATCCTCGCAACTTTGAGCTCCGAGAAGCCGCGCGCGAGTTGGTCCAGATCGTTTCGCCAAAGGCATCCTCATATTTCTGCGTTCCGAACTCTCGCGCGCGGGGTTGTCCAGCGCGTTTTGCTTGAGACATCCTCATGTTTCTGCGCTCCGAACTGTCGCGCGCGGGGTTGTCCGGCGCGTTTCGCCTAAGGCATCATCGCACCTCTGGTCTCCGAGATGTCACGCGCGAGGTGGTCCAGCGTGTTTCGATTGAAACATCTTCATATTTCTAGTCTTCGAGATGCCGCGCGAGAGGTGGTCTGGCGCGTTTCCGAATTTCGTCTGAGACATCCTCGCAATTCTGAGCTCCACGGTGCCGCGCGCGAGGTGATCCGGATCGTTGCGCCAGAGACAACCTCATTTTTCTGAGCTCCGATCTGTCGCGCGCGGGGTTGTCTGGTGCGTTTCGCCTGAGACATCCTCACAACTCTGGTCTCCGAGATGTCACGCGCGAGGTGGTCCAGCGCGTTTCCCCTGAAACATCCTTGTATTTTTGGTCTCCGAGATGCCGCGCGAGAGGTGGTCCGGTTTGTTTCCGCGTTTCGCCTGAGACATCCACGCAATCTTAGGTTTCGAGCTGCTGCGCGCGAGTTGGTCCAGCGCGTTTCGCTTGAGACATTATCCTTGCAACTCTCAGCTCCGACCTGCCGCGCGCGAGGTGGTCCAGCGCGTTTCGCTTGAGACATCTTCGCAACTCTGGGCTCGAGAGGTGGTCCAGCGCGTTTCGCCTGGGACATCCTCACAACTCTGAGCTCCGAGATGCCGCGCGCGAGGTGGGCTGGCTCGTTTCGCTTGAGAAACCCTTGTGCGCAATTCTGAGCTCCGAGATTCTGCAGGCGAGGTGGTCGGGCGCGTTTCGCTTGAGACATCACCGCAATTCTGGGCTCGAGAGGGAGTCCAGCGTGTCTTGCCTGAGACAACCTCGCAACTCTGGAATCCGAGATGCTGCGCGCGAGATGGTCTGGCACGTTTCGCTTGTGACATCCTCGTAACTCTGGTCTCCCGCCCGAGAGGTGGTCCGGCGCGATCCGCCCCAGACATCCTTGCAACTCAGACGATGTGCGCGGGACGGTCTGGTGCGTTTCGCTTGAGATATCTCCCAATTTTTTAGATCCGAGGGGAGGAGGGCGGAGGGGTCAGACCCAATCGAACCATTTGATTATACTTCTGTTATCGACTTTTGCTCCGGGAGGCGTCTGGGCGCCGCCTTGTCCATCCTCGCGTGCCGCGCGAGAGGTGGTCCGGCGTGTTCCGTCTGTGACATCCTCGCAATTGTGAGCTCCGAGATGACGCGCGCGTGATGGTCCAACCCGTTTCGCCGCAGACATCTTTGCATCTCTGGGCTCCAAGGCGCTGCGCGCGAGGTGGTCCGGCGCGTTTCGGCTGACATTTCCTATCATTCTGGGCTCCGACATGATTTGATGCTTGCGAGCTGGTCCGGCGAAATTTGCAGGCGACATCTTCGAAATTCTAGGCTCCGAGAGGGAGGAGCGAGGATAGGTAAGAGACCCAAACGAGCCATTTGATTCCACTTCGGTTCTCGAATTGTGCTCTGGGAGGGGTCTGGGCGCCGCCTGGTCCATCCTCGCATGCCGCGCGCGAGGTGGTCAAGCCCGTTTCGCTTTGGACATCCTCGCAGCTCTGGGCTCCGAGATGCTGCGCGCGAGATGATCTTGCCCGCTTCGCTTGATCCATCCTCGCAACTATGAGCTCTCAGATGTCTTTCGCCAGGTGGTCGACCCGTTTCGCCTGAGACTTCCTCATGTTTGGGTTGCGAGATGATCCGCGCCAGGTGGTTCGCTCGTTTCGCTTGAGACATCCTCACGTCTGGGCTCCAAGACGCTGCGCGCGAGATGGCCCGGCCAGTTTCGCTTGAGACAGCCTGGCAGTTTTGATCTTCGAGATGCCGCGGGCGAGGTGGTCTGGGCCGTTTCGCCTGAAACATTATCACAACTCTAGGCTGCGAGATGCCGCGCGCGAGGTGGTCCAGCACGTTTCGCCGCAGACATCCTGGCAACTCTGGTCTCCAACACGCCGCGCGCGAGGTGGTCCGGCCCGTTCCGCCTGAGACATTGTCGCAACTACGGGCACAAAGACGCCGCGCGAGGTGATCCGGCCCATTTCGCCTGAGACAACCTCGCAAGACTGGGCACCAAGACGCCGCGCGAAAAGTGATCAGGCCCGTTTCGCCTGAGACATCCGAGCAACTCTGGCCTCTGAGATGTTGCTTGCGAGCTGGTCCAGCGCGTTTCGCCTGCGATATCCTCGTAACTCTGGGCTCCAACAGGCATGAGGGAAGAGGGAGGATGGGTAAGAGACCCGATCAAACCATTTTATTTCACCTCGGTTCTCGAATTGTTCTCTGGGAGGGGTCTGGGCGCCGCCTGGTCCATTCTCGTAACTATGAGCTCCCATATGTCGCGAGCGAGGTGGTCCAGCCCGTTTCGCCTGAGACATTATCGCAACTCTTGTCTCCCAGATGCCGCTCGAGAGGTGGTGCGGCGTTTTCGCATGAGACATCCTTGCAGCTCTGGGCTCCGAGAACATGTTCGCGAGGTGGCCTTTGGAAGACGGAAGCTATACACGACCGCCGGGATCTTTCAGAGCCAGATATGGCCATTGATGGCTCATATGCGGTCGTCCGGATTGTTTTTGAATCATGCTCCCCAACAGCGAGGCCAGGATATCGTGGTTCGACGTTAGAAATCGTTGCCCCTCGTTAATTGTACACCCTAGGCGATGCTTAAGAAAACTTAAGTTTTCGGCCAGAGTCTCGACTATTCTTAATGTTTCAATGTAAATCCTAAGATTTTCAGAGGATTTCTGGGTTTTTATTCAAATTCTGAGACTATGAATTTCTTAACCCATGATTTCTTAAGCATTTCGCGGGGTGTACGTGGAGCCGGTGTCTTGCTAGGTTACCTGTATGCACCACCGTCTTCCGTGATTTTCTTCTCCCTCTGTTGTGCTCGTTTGGGGCGTCATCGCGGGGCGGGTTTGCCTGGATCACACTTCAGGTCGCCAAGGCTTTCCATAGGCCGCAAGCGCAGTCGGCATGTGCCGCTGGATGGTCGGAGGCGAGGATTAGCGTGTCGATGTTGTTGCTGTTGTCGTTCTGGTCCCAACCCTCCTGCGTCAGGTTCTCGTTTTGAGTAGAACACTGCGGTCCCGCACTCCTCCTCCCGCCTCCCTCCTCCTCTCTGCCTTTCTGCCTCTCACCTCCTCTCCTGTTCTGCCTGCCAGCCTGCCTTTCCTGTCCTGCCTGCCAGCATGCCTCCTACCTCGCCGTCCTGCGTGACCTCGCCATCCCTTGGGTCCTTGCGGAACTGTCGCCCCTTTCAAGGGTTCTGGGGGGTCCAGCGGAGCGACGTGCTACGCGGATTCAGCGTAGAGCTCGCCATCCTTGGTGACGGCGATCTGCGAAATCGTTGTCACTTGCGGGGACTGCCGGGGACTCCAGCGGAGTGACGCGCTACGCATGTTCAGATTAGACCTGGCAGTATTTGAGGGGCTGCGATCTGCAAAATTGTCGCCAGTTTCGAGGGCTGCTGAGGGGTCCAGCGGAGTGACGCGCTACGCAGATTCAGATTAGACCTCGCCATCTTGAGGGGCTGCGATCTGTGTACCCGTCGCAACTTCCAGAGCTGCTGGGGGGTCCAGCGGAGTGACGCGCTACGCAGATTTAGATTAGAGCTCGCCATCCCTGGGCGGCGGCGATCTACGAATATGTTGCCACTTTCGAGGGCTGCTGAGGAGTTCCAGCGGAGTGACGCGCTATTCAGACTCAGATTAGACTTCGCCTTCCCTGGAGGATGCGGTCTGAGTAACGGTCCCCACTTTCGAGGGCTCCGAGTGGTTCCAGCGGACGACGCATTACGCGGATTCAGCTTAGACTACGCCATCCCATGGAGGGCTTCGACTTGCGAAGCTGCCGCCACTTTCTCGGGGGTTGCTGGGGGGTCTGGCGGAGTGACGTACTACTCGGATTCACCTTAGAGCTCGCCATGTTGGTGGGCGGCGATTTGCGAAATTGTCGTGAATTACGAGGGCTTCCGGGGGGGTCCAGCGGAGTGACGCGCTACGCAGATTCAGATTCGTCCATCACTGGGGGGCCTGCGAACTGCGAAGCCGTCGCCACTTTCGATGGCTGCTGGGGGCTTGCTACACAGATTCTGATCAGACCTCGCCATCCTTGTGGAGCTGCGAACTGCGAAAGCGTCGCCACTTTCAAGGGTTGCTCGGGGGTCCAGCATAGCGACGTCATACGCGGACTCAGATTAGCATTGATTATCTTTCCCGCGTGCCGCCCAGAGACGTAGCGCCACGCTTGTGGGCGCTTAGTTTCCGCATTGTTGTCCTGTGAATCGTGCAACGCGCGCGGTTCCCGCTAGTTTGTACAACCAGTGGCAGATCCTGTTTTGTTTCTCACCTGTACTATTCTGGACCAGTTCCTCTTGTCACTGAATTCAGATGTGTTGGATACGTCGCATGGTAAGGTTTGTTCTTGGTGGTGGTGTGCAGTTCTCGTCTGCCTAGGTCTGACACGTCTTGCTTGACACATCCTCGCAAGTGGGAGCTTCGAGATGTTGTGCGCGAGGTGGCCTGGCCCACTTCTCCTGAGACATCCTCTGAACGCTGGGCTCCGAGAAAGAGGAGGGAGGAGAGAGGAGTAGTAAGACCCAAGCGAACCATTTGATTAATCTTCAGTAGTCGAAATGTGCTCTGGGAGGGGTCTGGGCGCCACTGGTCCGATGGAGGAGGTAGCTAGCGCTGACGCGCGAGCGCGATTCCTTGGCTCATTCCCGGAGCTTCTCAGGGGAAGCCATGCATGAGCAACACTTTGATATGT